GGCCTTCAAAACAGGAGAGAAATATTGATAGCAGATAAGTTATTCAATCCTTAGGAACAACACGCTCATTGGTTTGGTTTTTTCGAGGAAGGTGTGTACTCATTTTCCTTCTTGAAAAACCGATTTTAAGTCAAAGGGACCAATCTTAACAGATTATCACTCGCATTCTTCATGGAGGGTCTCTTGTCAGGGCTTGCGTGAACACAGGCTAGAGCAATCTTAAGCACTGCAACCATTTCATATTCCTTGTCTGACTCACGAGTTAAGAAGGGATCTAGGACTTCAGATGGTGGTTTAACTTCAAAGCTAAGCTGAATCCATTGGACTAGATCCATTCCTGATAGACTTACCTGCATCATAGGTGACTTCCCAGAAATCATCTCCAATAGAATCACCCCAAATGAGTAAACATCCCACTTCTGTGATGGTTTTATGAGTTTTGAAGACTCAGGAGCTTCATAACAAGACCCAGGCGTGCTTGAATGTGTTGGAGTCAACGCGTAAGGAGAACCTTCTTGTGGTGTTCCGCTTGTCCCCGGCAAGGATTCTTTACTTGTATAAGCAAAGCAGTTAAGTCCAAAATCTGAGATGCGGGTCTCCATGTTCTATCCGAGTAGTATGTTGCGAGTCTTTAAATTTCCATGGACATACCTTTTGGGACTGCATTCATGTAGAAAAGCTAAGCCCTTTGCTAATCCTTCCATGATTTTAAGTCGTACAGACCATGAAAGAGTTTTGAAGTTTGTCATTCCTGTGGTCAGATTTCGAAGAAAAAGATTCAGAGCAATTAATGTGATGAATGCTTGTGATTTTTCACGGAAAACAACAGTATAGACATGGAAGCTAACTAATTCTTTTAGTTTCTTACAACATCAACCTTTTAGTCGTGTCAGTGAGTTGTGCGGGGGGGTACTTACCATGAATCACGGTGGCAAGGCCATTGGGCACATAATTATAGATGAGCAACTTCTCGTTGATGCCCCAACAATAAGCTAGGAGGCTGACTATGTTTGGATGTCTAATTTTGCCAAATGCTTCCACTGCAGTTTGAAACTCCCTGAACCTCTGAGAACCTCCATCTTCCAGTCTCCTTACGGCAACAGTTAGCCCCTTTTCAAGAACAACTTTATATACGATCGCTATACTGCTCTTTCCAACCAGAAAAGCAGACGCTTTGAGAAGTTGTCCAACATCAAAACTGACCTTCGAGTCTAATGGAACAAAAGTGCACTGTTCCATAGTTTCCGATAGAGATTCCAAGTCATCTGTTCTGAAGCAGAACATTTCCTTTCTAACCATTGATTTTTCTTCAAATCTACAGCCCTGTGTACGTTTGCTTTCCTTACAACCATAAGACTTCTTGTACCAGTAACAGAAAGATACAATGACTAAGCAAATTCCTACCACTGTACCCGCAACAGTTGCAATCACAATCCAGCACCATTTTCCTCCCCTCCTCTTGCCTGAGCTGTCTCCTACTGCTAAGGGTTTAGGCTCGATATTTGGATGGGAAGCGGCCGAGGGGCATCGAGTTTTCAGAGGAGGCCCACAAAGGAGAGGGTTGCCAATGAAAGCAGCTGGACCTGCATTCATTAGAGCACCATTTTGTGGTATTGCACCGCTAAGATTGTTGCAAGTGAGATTGATATAAACTAACTTAGGAAGATTTCCTAGGCTTGCTGGAATTGGGCCATGGAATAGATTGTGAGATAGATCAAGCGCTACTTGCAAGCTTGACAAGTTGCCTAGGCTGCCAGGGATCAAACCGCTAAAGCTGTTATGTGAAAGATTCAGTGTCCGAAGCCCAATCAAATTGGTTCCTAGTGCATCTGGTAGAGAGCCAGTGAAACTATTTCGGCTGACTACAAGATTCTTCAGTCTCTTGCATTGATTTAGAGATTAGGGTAATGACGCACTGAAAGAATTTTGAGAAAGATCAAGAGCCTGTAGGTGCTTGAGGTCCACTATCTCTTCAGGAACTGGCCCGGAATATGAGTTTCCCGAGAGGGTCAAAGATTTTAATTCTGTCGCATTAAAGAGTTCGGTTGGGAAACTTCCAGAGAGGTGGTTATTCCTGAGATCAACATGACTTAATGCAACAAGCTTACCAGCATCAAGTTGCAGATTCCCAGCCAGCCCTTTATTTGGAAGCCTCAGAGAAAGACCTTTTCTTCTCTGCACATAACTCCATGCCATGAACATGGGTTTGCATCCGATGAGTTCCAGTTGTCTATATAATGAGCTGTGGAGTCTTCTATCGATTGCTTGAAGAATAGAAGAGCAAGACCTTCATCATTAACAGAACCGACAAAAGCAATATAGTGGACTATAAAGGAAAGTAGAGAGGCAAATTGCAGAACCATCTCTACCAAAAGGCAACTGCTGAATGGAGTTCAAAGGAGAAATGTCATTGGTTGTGGGATCATCCTGTGTGATAAAGCAGGTTAGAATGGAAAATACTAGACAGGTACTTTACTTCATTGTTTTTTCTGTGGACCTTACATGACCTTGTAAGGAAGTGGCCATTGTTAGTTAGAGTGCAGACTGGGAGAAACGGGTCAGTGCAGCCCTACTGCTTACTAGCATTGAAGTTAAAAGCCAAAAACATGTGCCCTACTCACTTGCTTTCACTAAAAGCAAACTTAAGGTTGAATTATTGCTAGATAGCAGAAATTGAATGGGGGCTTATTGTAGCATGCTTTCAATGCCAGAATTATAAATGCAGACAATTAATCATAGTTAATCATTACCTGTCACAAACTAATATCAGTCAAGATAGTGTTTCTAGTCTTGCTGTGATTTGAATTTCGTAAGCTTCAGTGACGTTGACACGTGATAGAATATTGGTCTTTGGATTCAGTTTTTAGCGTGAGTGATGGCGTTATTAGGTGCACAAAAATGCCACTAAATGAGCAAACCTAGTATAGTTTGGAAAGACGTTTTGAATTTCAAGTTCTACAGGCTTGGCTTCTCTTGTCTTGATATGACCGGTGGAGGAATGAAGTCTTCACTCGTTTTATGACTTCTCCAACTGGGGTTCGTGTCCCTTGTCGGCTGGGCTGTCTGCTGAGAAAGTTTGGTGTTCAGTTCGAGGTCAGATCAAACTTTGGACTGGGTTTTGCTTCTTAGTAACTTATCATTACATTGAAGAGGGACAGTTAAAATAAAGAGGCCAGTGATAAAAACAATCGTGGCCGACTTAAATAACGAGTGCTTGATTGTTTATGATATATGGTCTGAATCAGTCTCACTCCGTGTCCAGTCTCAGCAATCTCCCCTTTGTCCTGTATTTTAATTTCAATAGATAGAGCATGCAGCAGGGAATAATTCATATACCTGGACTCTTCAATTTATCTTGACATACCTGTGTTAGAAACATTGCTAGATATATCAAAGGCACATGAATACTTCGGTATCATATTTTGTTTGTATTCTTTGCATGTGATTCCGTTGGATGGTAATTTCCATTTACTAACATCTATTTTTCTTCTGTTCAAAACCTTCTAGGACATGGTTTTGAGGGTGTTAGTCTCCAAATTATTCTTACAACAATAAACAAGAAGACAAAGCATTACCATTCAACACATAGTCCAATATCCCTTAGGATCTCATAAACGACCTGCGTGGTGTTTTGATCACTCTTTTTTGCTATTTTGATTTTGTACAGGTAGAGAAAAACCTTGTTAACATCTTGTCTGACATTCCTTGATAGAAACATCTTGTCTGAAATGATCCAACAAAAAACAAAATAGAGAGTATCATGAATAATTTTGATGGCCTCATTTACCTCACTGACCTGGATGGGTCCATGTTTTCTCATGTCGATCGTTCTGGATTGGTAAGGAGCCTGTTGTCTAATTTCAGTGATTTATAGATGCTATCTTTATGGAGCACTCTATGTGAATCTAAACATTAATGTTTAGTTGTGTAAATTTCATTTGCAGAATATTTTCTATTGGCAACATGACTATAAGACTCCAAAATCTGATTTCATGTTAGAGTTCTAGGCACGAGTGCGTGCATGGATTGCAGCAACCTTGCATAAACAGTGATGAATTCAGCAAACAGCGTGCAATAGTTCATATAAGTCATTGAGTTCTTAACTTGGCATGGACGTGGGGTTTGGATCATAGACGTTCTAAGCGAGTGACAAACATAGCAGAAACTGACAGTTGGGACTACTAGTTGAATGTGTAGATCATAGGTTAGGGATGGCAGTTATGGACATCCAGATCATGGGAGATTGGTGGCTGAACGTGAGGCATAATTGAGGTTGTTGTACAAGCTGCTAGGATCTTGGGAACATGATAAAGAAACTGTCCAATACTTGCTGAAAAATAAACTACTAAATTCATAGAGGACATGAGAGAGAAAATGCCCCACTATATTCTGAAAAATAAAAATGATGGTTGTCTTGTAACTCACGTATCTTTATCTATAAATAGACTGGACAGCCTTAGTTGTGTAACATGCAATTTTGATGAATAGTATATATTTATATTGTGTAATTCTTTGTTTCTTAAATTAATAAAAATTGGGAGACTTTCCTATACATTTGGTGTGCATTGAGTTTATTTACTTGTATTTGTTATTTGCTTATGACAAGGTAATTGTGAAAACCTATTTGGCTGAGAAAAATATATAATTGTAGATAAGCACGAGTGAAAAGGGCGAGACAAGACTTAGTTTAGTCGGGACTAAACTGCCATACATAGCTGAATTTTGAGTTTTGAGGTTAAAAATCCAACCCTGTGACCCAGATGTGCTCCTCAGTTCTCCTTTTGGTCAACAGAAATTGAGTATCTAAAAACAGTTTACATGGGAGCAAACAATGTAGGGGTGAAGTGATTTTTAGCTTGTGCCAAGAGGAAATTGCAGTTGATCATTTATGATCGGAGAACTTCGGCTGTAAATCATCTGCTGAACTACTGTATAAGAGCAATTTTAAAAGTGGGTTGGTGCATACCAGATCTAGAAACGTGTTGAAAACAACCCAAGCATGCTAATAGAAATCAAGAAAATGGTATATCCAAAATCAAAACAGACCACATCAGAAATCTATGATTTAGATTTCTTCACTGAACTATGATTTATATTTTTGCACAAGAACTTTCATATCATGTCTGCCTTGTTTAAGACATTCGGTTAACTGGTGAATTCCGTTCACACAATCTGCAGCTATTCTGCATGATTGGTTCACACACAACCCACAGTTGCTAGTTCCCAATGCATGAGGGTGAAGGCAAATGAAACTTGGAAGACTAGCACTTCTTAGGAACTTTTGATCCAAATGCTCGCTGTATGCAGCTATTTTTTATTTTTTTTTCTTGAACTGAATCAAAATGTCAAGGAGAAAAAAGATAACAGCACATAGCCGTAACAAATTTGAAACATTTTATGGATCCTTGTCAACCTTTTTTCCGTTGAATAACTTGGCTAAATTTGGCACAATTGTTCTTTTCTTCCTGATAGCAATAGAAGTTGATCTAGGAGTTATCCGAGGAGTCATTAGAGCTGATGGAGAACCAGAATTTCGAAGCTTTGAACGTCTTGATGGAGTCAGATTGCCATTAGCTTTCATGGATTTCCTTGGGAATGGCTGTTGCTGGTTCTCGGTTTCTGTATTTTTCTTGCTCACATGTCTCCATTTTCGAAGCTCTCCCTCTACCATTCTTTTAGCAGATAGGGAACTCTCAGTTCTATATATCTCTTTCTCTTCCTCCACCCTTATTTCTCTGATGTCTCCATGAGCTAGTTCAATTTTCATCAATATCTCCTTTTCACTGGCTTTCAATGCTTCAATCCATGCCTGAGCTGCAGCTACCTTTTTGTCTGCAATTTCTTCAGCCATGGCTGCATGTCCAGTTAAATACTCGTACTCAAACTTTGAGATAGTAATCGACGAACTATGTTGAGAAGCAGAAGCTCTAGATCTCATGGTGTTCTCAATAACATTTTTCAGATTCTGAAGAGCTGAAGACTCTGACTTTTTGACTGCATCAAGCTCCTGAATTGCGTGCTGCAATTTTTCTTTAGTGAGGTCTATTTGAGAATCAGTATTGCGGATTTCTGCCTTGATTTCTGCAGTTTCTTCGCGGATAAGCTTCTTCTCTTTCCTTGCTACCTCCGCTTCGGTCTTCAACTGTTCAAGTGTCACAGACAGACTGGATAAAGTTGATCTTGCCTTCCCCTCAACTGCAGTTGCGGTTTCCAATTTAGACTTTGCTCTCAGGAGCTTTGAATTAAGATTTTGAGCAGTTATATCAGCTTTCTCTTTCGCTTTCTTTAACTGAACTGTCTCTTCTGTGACATACTTCAGCTCATTCCTTAAGATATCCATTGAGGTCATGAACTGAAAACCCTCTTCCCTAGTTGAAGCCAATTCTTTCTTAGTTGCCTGCAATTCTTCAGTTATGGATTTCAGTAAAGAGGAATCCTCCAATTGCTTGCCTTCCCGAAAACTGCCTCCCAGATGCTTCATGCTGTCATTTCTTTGTACCTTTGCGTCCTTACCTTTAGCAAGCTTTAGTTCATGCTGTATCAAATTCACTTCATATAATGTAACAGCCAATTTCGACTCAAGATCTGTAGAGCTACTGATTTCCTCTTTGACATTCTTCGTTTTTTTCTTACTTTCCTGCATTGCGGACGAGAATTCTCTCGCTTCTTTCTCTCTTTGAGCTTGAATTCCTCCAAATTCTTTAAAGGCCTCAATCTGTGCCAACTCAACTAGCACTTGTTCCTCATTTGCCTCATCAATCTTCTTCCTGAGTGCTTCCGCGTGGCTCATATTAGACGATAATTTAGAAATTGAGGTTGCTATTTCCTTCTCTGCCCGAGTTTTCGCTTCCAAAACAGAAGCCATCTCAAGCTTAAGTTTACTCAGTTCTTGCTTCACACCTTCCAACTCCCTTATCACTACTGCATACTGATGGCTCTCATCACTCCCAACAATTAAAGCCATATCTTGGAGCTTACTCAGCTTGTTTAACCTTTCCATGTCTCTCACCTGAGCTTTTACCTTGAAATTTGATTTCTCAATCTGTAAAACAAGCTCTTTCACCGTTCTTTTCGCATCCGAGAGCTCTGATTCTGCTTTCACTTTAGCCGACTCCGCAGCCCTTCTATTCTCTTTATATCTTACCAAGTCTCTCTTTGCCATGTGCAGCTCTTTAGCTCTTGAGGAAGACTACAAAATGAATTCATCAACTCAATATTTACTAATAACACCTCAAACTAACTTACATGTAGTGCTTAAAATTAACAAATAAATGGGGTTAATTAGCTATTCTTAATTATTGTCAGTTTTATCATACCTCAGGCAAATCCATCTGGGCTGGTATCTTCAGTGAAGAACTACTACTTTCAAGAATTCTTTCTCCATACATATTAACAGCTGCCTTCACTGTCCCAATTCTTCTTCTATCATCAAACACTCTCCTATCCATGTTGTCACTACTCTATCAACGAAGAAGAATAAACATTTTCTCAGGCAAAGTCTAGTAACATGTACTCAAATTGCTACAGATGTTCAACAAAACAGAATCTGGGCCTGCTTCCTTATAACAAAAAAAAAAACACAATCATGCTACACATTATAGTTACAACATAAGAAGAAAATGCAAGAAGTCTTGATAGACAACAAATCAATCATCATCGAGAAGACTTACCTCAAAGTGTGCTATATATATCTGTCTAGCTAGACAGATGTGTATACCATGTTTTGTTAGCTGAAGATTGAAGTGCAGAGCGCTTGCTTGACAGTGAGAGAGGGAGGGTGGGAGGTGAGGAGGAAATGTTTTTGGTGCCCAAGAAAATGGAAGAATAAGAAGTAACAGATAAAACGGCAAAGGAGAGAGAGGGAGTGAGTCCGGATGGTTGGCTGGTATTGGAGGAATCGCTGCCACCTGACGATTATTCCCTTTTAGTTGTATAATATAATGTTTTGGAAAATATAGTGGACCCCCAGAATTGGTGAATTTCCAAGGAGGTCCGGATAAATTAGAGCTTTTGCGGTCACAGGCCAACAAAATAAAACGAAAAGAAAAAAGAAAAAGAAAACATTTGAGCAATTGGATTAAATTCGTCGCTTTATTTGTATAAAGTTTAATTTTCTGATTTGATGTAAACATATAAAGTATTAAAATATAATCTCTCTTTTTTTCCCTTTTTTTGTTGATTTTTTTAGTTTAAATCTTGTGACCTTAGAAAATTTATTCCTAGTCCAAAGATGAATCTATACTGCCAAATAAAAAAATAATTTGATAAAATTAAAATAAAAAATAGAGAGACACCCATCGGAACAGAACAATGGGGCGAATATGAAATATTATTTTATCCACCCATCGGAACAGAACAATGGGGCGAATACGAAATATTATTTTATCCTGTTTATGTTATGCTAGAAGCAGAAATTGAAATTTGAACCGGAGAATACTCTTTCTTGTAAGAAGAATGTATCTCTTACATATTCCAAATTTGAAGGTACCATGAAATGACACTGGGAATCCTTTTAATTCGTCCAATGCATCCGTTTTCATTATACAGTGGTGAATGGGCTTTCTATGACCACGATCTTGAGTTGATAAAGTAGCTGGATTTCATCGCTGGTCTCATAGGTTGACGAGATGACTTTTATGCTCATAGGAAAATATAAGTTTTATTTTAATTAAAATAGAATATCATATACTTAAGTCAATAAATATAGAAGGAAAATGAGCATGTTGAGGATGGAAGTAATGGAAGAGATGAGTAGGGTGGTGGGTGACCATGTGACCTATTTTATGAGTGGAGACCTGTTGAGTAGACTCGTTTCTATTTTGAATTGTTGCTCAAATTCATTTATCTAGTGATTCGATATATTTATATATATTCGTCATGTGAGCTTACTCATAGAGAGCAGAGAAATGATGGAGAGAGAATTCATGGTAAGTGAATAAAAATGAGTTGATGGTCATTGTACATTTGGTTCACGCTTGAGGGTGATCGGTGTCAAGGGCTCGTGAGTGATTAGTAAGAGAAGTAATTGCCCTTCTAGGAGATATAATGGCAAGGAAAAAGACATTGATGAGAAAGGTAAGGGCCGTACTAGAAGTTTATAAGCAAGTATAGCAGAGTGGTGATTTATTGGCAAGGAAAAAGACATTGATGAGAAAGGTAAGGGTCGTACTAGAGTTAAGCAAGTATAGCAGAGTGGTGCCATGCCATTTTCTTAGGCTAGATGCCTTTTATTGGGTTGGAGAGTAGTCATTTGGACTGGAGAGCACTCCCTTAAGTGGGAGAGTAGGATTAGAGAGGATTAATCTGGTTAAGTGATTCAGGGGTTGAGATGGAGAATTGCAGAAGAAAGTAAGAATTGAACTGAAAAAGGTGGGAAGCACCAATATGTGAGGCTAGCCCCCCCACTTGTGGCGATGCACGAGGGAGCGTTTGGTCCTCGATGGTGGTTTTTTAGAATCATTGGGTTCGTCTTGTCAATATCTTCATGGTTCATGTTGGTGCGACGCTTGTGCTGATCAAAGCTTGGTGTGTCTTGGACGTCCCATTCCTTTTTTTTTATTGTCTCCTTTCGCTTTCTCTTACACCAGTTCACATGTTTTTTTCTCCTCTCTCCTGTGTTCTTCGTGCCTTACTGATGTGTGCGATAATGGCGATCTCTATATATAATAAATACCATAGCATCATCAACATTCTTCCAAGTTAGTTCTGTGAAAGTCAATTGATCTTAGAAAAATTGCATTTGAGATTGAAAATCAATGACATATTATTCAAGTTGTTGATGTAGTTGGTTCAAATTTTAAATAGTTGATAACAATAAAAGAGATCAGTGATGGTGTAACAATGAGAAAGGTGATCCCACGAAGTTTTGGTAGTATCAAATCTATCAAAATGAAGATTGATCGATTAAAATTTGATGATTTTTTCTTGATCGATGAAAATTTGATGATTTTTTTCTAGCCCAATCATCTAGGTGCTCAATAAATTTGACATCAACTTTAGCTTCATCTTTGATCGATGTGGATTTAGTGACACCACCGGTGACATAATGTCAAATTCTCCTACCCTTGAGAAAAGTACACATGGATTGTGACCATAAACTATAGTTGTCCCATCTAACACAACGTGAATAAGGTAAGAGACATCTGATTTGTCCATGGTTGCGAGAATGGCAGAATGGTAGTGTCAAGATCAAAAGATGGGATCATTAGTGTCAGCTCGTAGTGGCTGGCAGTGGACAGAGTTGGTCGGTGATGGATAGTCAAAAGCTGATGGCTGCTGAGATGCCCGACCGAGACAAAAGGAGCTTTCTATTGCACATGATCGACTATCCATGGCAAGTATAAATCATACGACTCAACAAGGAATCACTTTAAAACCATTATCTGGCGTGCTGACTACTGTTTGTATCAGCCTGCTTGGTCAGTCTGCTTCATCACTGTTTGCTTGCTCTTTGCATGGATCTCTTATCTTATAGTCTGGTGTTGGGAAATTCTCAAAGATAGTATCATAAATATCTCCCATCCACTGGAGAGGTTGCAGAGGTATTTCTTCTCGTACATGTTAGATGGGCTTCTTGTTTACATACGAAGCTAATGGCTACCTCAATGCTGCTTCACTAGGCTTGATTGAAGGAGTAAATGATAACTTCATTGTCCCCCTGCTTTACTTTATCGTAGCTAATCTGTTGTATCTTTCTGTTCAGTATTTCCTTATGATGTGAAATGCTAGTGGAAGACCGCCTAAATAAAGTACGAAAAAAATTTATTACTTCTGGAGAGCCCTATGGTTCACAAGATTACTGACCTTAATGTGCCTGCTCTACTGCTTTGGGTTTTCTGATCCTTAATCACCACCAGTGCACTAGCTAAGTTTTAAATAGTGGAAAAAACCATTCCAGAAAGTCATTTCTAGATCGCTAGACTTAGCATGCATATAATTCTCTAGAGTCTAATTCCACTAGCATTCTGATATTTTGTTAGGCTTGTATCTTTGTTTTTGTTGCATGTATTAAATCTAATTCCACTAGCATTCTGATATTTTGTAGGCTTGTATCTTTATTTTTGTTGCATGTATTAAAACTTTAAGCACAATTTATGTTATTTTTTTCTAAGAAAGTTTACTTTTTCCATGTGAAGATCTTATATCTGACATGTGGGACAAATCATGGAAACAAACATGCTCTGTGCTTGTTGTGAAGTTGGATTTTGATGTGCTGAACTCATCAATGACATTTCTGCATTAGTTGAAGGAGAAAATTGCGATGCTTCGAGAGAATAATCGTCATCAAAAGCAAAAGATAAGGCTGGATAATGAAATGGAGAGGTTTCTGAAAGCTAAAAATTTGTCTGATAATCAAATAAGTGGATTAACTATATCCTTAGAAGCCCAGCAAAAGGATCTCAAGGACAGGGAGCGCCAAGCGACTTTCATGCAAGGAAAACATTATTGTTGTGTGTGTGTTTACATTTTCTCTTTTTTCTTTTTAGATACAGGAGTTAAAGCAATCATGGGAGCACCAAAGAAAGGAAATCAATGATTACTAATCAGAAATCACCTCATTGAAAATGCACAATGACGGATATCGTTCTGGAATGAACATTGTAGCTAGTGATGCCGACGCTGTTCAATCCCTCCCAATCCTAGGGAGAATACAAGAAATAAAGCCATTGCAGATGGAAATAGTAGGATTGAAGGCAAAGAGGACATTTGCTTCTGAATCCATTGATGACTTCTCTTCTGAGAAAGAGACTCAGCTGGCTGAAGAGATAGTGATTAAAATAGATGAAGACAAAACTATAATCTCCCACCCAGTTGATGTAGCAGGAGTTGTGGGCAACGGAGATGTTCTACCACTGTCTATCAATGAAACCAATGAACCTGAGGAAGTTCTGGAAGATTTATTGAACAGTCCTTTAGATGAAAAATGACCCTGTTGATAACAGTGTATTGGTCACCAAACGAAATGGTGAACCGCCGGTAGAACATATCAGGCTACAACTAGAATCGGACAACATAGACGGCGAAGCTGCTTCAGAGAATACGGCAAGTTCATCTTCTTCCTATCGGACATTATGCTCTCCCATGTGGCTCCCTTGATTCTCTTCACTCCTGTATCAAATGCACCACAGGTCCACAGCATCACATTCAATATTTTATGGGAAATGGTTTTTAGTTAGTGACCTTTTCAATATATATTTTTTTCTTTTAAAATATTCCTATTTTATATATTATTTTTTATTAACCGGTTCAATCCGTAACTTAAATAATAATCCAGTTTATAAATTAAACTAGGTTTTATAAAATGTAATGACAACTTTTCTTGCCAATAACAACAAATTGATGTTTTCAAATTGGATATAAGTTTTAAACTAATTTATAGACAAAAGATCAAGATCACACATTTCCATACAATATTTAGTTTGAAATACTAGATGTTAAAGGGATATTTAGAAACAAAGTGGTACTTTAATAATTATTTAAAAAAATTAGAGTAAAAAGAAATAAGAACTCAAACTTTACGTTTAAATATAATATTTGTCCATCTAGAAAACTGAAAAACTATTTTTTTTAGTATTTAAAATTTGCATTGAGTATGAAAAAACACATCTTAGAATTATTTACAATTTTCCTTTACATGTTTTTCATTGCTTTTTAAATAAATAAAAGACATGAATACTATAATTTTTCTTTTATATACAAATTTTTTTTTTTGCAACATAAAAATTCAAATTATTTTTAAATATGAAAAAAATATTTTTTTTTATATATTTAATCAATGTCATAACTGTTATTTTATCAAAAATCTAAAATAATTTTTTTGGTTAACAATATAATTTTTTCATGATAATATTTAATTTTAATTAAATAAAATTAATATTTTAATAGTTAGATTATTATAAATACAAAATATTAAGA